GTCACTTACTCACGCCAACCCTTTCCCTCCCTCCCCTCTCCTGTGGGTAGGTGTGGGCTGAGGGCAGGCAGTCTGGTCAGGCTGGAGGGAGCAGGAGCAGGCTGGGAGTAGGTGTTTGATCAGGGGGAGGGTACAGGAGCAGGCTGGGGGTCTCAGTGGAAGGAGTGGGTGGAGGGTGTGCATGAGGAGCCTGGGGATGGTGGAGTTCTTGGCTGAGGGGATATGAGTTGGCTTGGAGGTGCAGTGTTTTGGTCGAGGGGATGTGTGAGGGGGCTGCGGGTGCAGGGTCTCAGTGGAAGGTGTGGGGGGGCTGGGAATGCAGGGTCTCGGCAGGGAAATGAGTGAGGGGGCTGGAGTGTGGGGTCTTGAGTGCGAAGGTTGGAGGTTGCACAAGGAGGGGCTGCAGCCAGTAGGGCTGTAGGGGAAGAGGCCAGTCAGTGAGAAAGGCAGCCGGGGCCAGAGGGAAGGCCCAGGCAGCTAGTGGCAATGATAGCTTGGCATGAGGAAGGGCTGCAGCGAGTAGAGCTGTGGGGGAAGAGGCCAGTCAGCGTGAAAGGTGGGGGTGCACGTTCTGGACTTTGTCCAGGCTCTGGTGGTGATAGCGTAGCGAAAGGAGGGTCTGCAGGCTGTAAGGGAAGAGGCTGATCAGTGCGAAAAGCGGCGAGGACCAAGGGGTGGGGGCAGGAACTGGTGGTGGTGGCCTAAGATAACCCTTCCCTTGCAGGAGTGATGTAAGGGCCAGAGGAGCTGCCTGGAGCTGTGGGCGGGGCAATGCGGATGATGTGATGATGTCACTCTGTCCCACAGGAAACCTTTTTGTATATATAGAGACAATAATGCCATATCTCAGAAGCTGCATCAGCATACACTTGGGTCATTACTGAAATTAGGTTAATGCAAAATTTAGAAGTATGGAATTTTTAACCATCACTTAATTCCCCACCACACGCTAATGTGGCTCATCTAAATTAAGTTCAATTCTTGAAGGGATTTCTATGACCAGTAATGGGTTAAGTTTCGAAATTATAATGATTGGCAATTGCACATCCCAAAATCTGATTTATGTTGTAAGAACAAACCGGCTTTGCTTATACGACATGGGATTTTGAGACACTTATTAGAGGTAGGTTCCCAACTTCCACTGATTTTTAGTGGAATTTGGGTACCTAGCTCTTTTAGGCCCTGAATACAAATTGAGTCTAACAAGCATATTATGAGAATGAGGGAAGTGACTATTAAAGTTTGATGTATTAAAGTCACAAGCCTAGAGAAATTTTATTACATAGAACACATAGGCTAAGGGGCTTACAAATACTATTTACACTTCTGTAGAAATTGACTCATTTTACTCTGATATATTCCTCGCTGTTGTCCAAGATCCCTTTGGAGATATTTAGCTATCATGCCAAAACTCCTTTACACAAACTAAATTTTGAAGACAGGAAGCAGCCACATGAGGTTGTATCTGTGGTTGAAGTTAAACAATCAATCTCTGCTCCTGAAAGCTCCCCATCCCAATGGATTCTCTGCTGAAATCAATACATATTTCAAACACCTTCCCGAACTATAATGTTGAATGAATCATCCAAATCAGACCAGTTTTCTCAGGTTTAATATCTGCTCTTAGCTAAGTGATATCTGTGCATTAAAAAGATAAGGAACATAAACTTGTGCATACTCCTGCACCATTTTTATGCCGTACAAATATTAACAGGTAAATAATTAAATTGATTTCTAAAATAAAAATAGACTGAAAAATTCTTTCCAGTTTTGCTCATTGTGATAAAGTTGGTTTCATGTGGAAAAGGAATGGCTTACAGCATTACCAAATAAGTCAGTATGCATAATGTTATCTAATGATAGTTGTAAATTCAGGTCATATAAAAAGTCTTTACTTGTGTGGCATGGTGCTATCATTTTCCTGCTTGAACTGTATGGAATTTGATCATAAATACCTCACTGGATGAAAATGAAGTACACAATTCCAGCTGTTGGGATTGAAAGCCAATAAATTAATCAGAGCCTTCCCATCCATAGAGATGGGTGGTGGAGCAGGGGCAGATCTGGGAGTAGAGGGTAGGGTGAGAGCGAAGCATGGATGGGAAGAGGTAATTATCAAGTTAGCCATCCCATCATCCATTGCTGGTATCAGGCAAGGGGACACTTCAGAACGGGGTGGGCAACAATTTGTAATTGGGGGCAACTGAGATTTTGGTAAGTAGTCAAGGACTGAACTTCTTAGGAGAGGGTGTGGGATCTGGGATGCTGGCTGGGTGCAGAAGGGAGCTTAGGATGGGGGACTGGGATTGCAGGAGAGGGTGAAGGCTCTAAGAGGAAGTTTGGATGAAGGAGGGGGTTGTGACCTGTGGCAAGGGATTGGGGTACACGGTCCAGGAGTGGGAATTGGGTGCAGGAGGAGGTGCAAGGTCTGTGAGGGATTTGTGATCTGGAGGAGGCAGGGAGAAGGTGTACAGATGGTTTGCGTGGTGACCTGGGGCAGGAGAGGGTGGTGGCTTGGGACAGGTAGTTGGGAGGAGGGAGAGGGTGGGGTGCCAGACACAGGCTCTGGCTGGAGGCACTTACCTAAATGGCTCCCAGCCAGCAGTCCTGGGGCAGACTCTCTGCTTATCTGCTGCAGTCCCAGGCTGGTTAAAACAGCTGGCTGCTCCATGTGGCTCTCCTGTGGGGAGAGGAGAGTAGGGAGGAGGCTTCAGACGCTGCCTCTGCTGTCCACAAAATTTCTCAGCTCTTATTAACCAGAAACTTGCCAAAGGGAGCTGAGAGATTTTGCTGAGGGTCAGGGGCAGTGCATGAAGCTTCCCCTTCTCTCCCCAGCATCCAGAGCAGAGAACAGCCAGCCATTTAAAGTGGTGTGAGTTGCTCTGTGGTAAGGATCCCGGCAAGGCGGCCACGGACTAGATCCAGCCTTTTGGTTGGCCATATTAGGCTCGCTAGCTGCATCTTGCCCACCCCTGCTTCATAGCTTGGTTTTGCATTATCTGACTATGAAGATATAAACAATCTAGGATAAAAAGAGAGATGGTCCAGTTTTTGCCCTTACAATATATGGGAGACAAAGTGGATGAGATAGTATCTTCTATTGAACCAACTTCTGTTGATGAAAGAAACAAGCTTTCCAGTTTATACAAAACTCTTCTTCAGCTCTGGGAAAGCTACCTGCATGGGTATGATACATATTGCTATTGTTGTGAATTACAAATATTGTGTTGCTTTGCATAGTTCTATATTTTTGATGTTTGTTGATTATAAGAAGTTACAGTGCAAATAGTAAATATGATAGTAAATCTGAATGATCTGCAGACAAAAAAATCAAGAAATGTTTTAAATAACATGCATTTTAAAATGTTGTGATTTCTTTGTTTACAAATAGAACAAAGGTGGGATTTCACAAATCAGTTATTCATTGTGAATTATTCATTCAGCTCTTGGGCTCCACTGTAAGATTCAGCTACAGGAATTGCCAGTTCTATTTTTTTTAAATGGTCAGCTTTCTTTTACTCTTAAGTATCTCCATCACAATACTTCTCAGATTGTCTATTTGAATTCAGATCTTTACATTGCAAAAGAAAAAATGCATTCAGCAATTGATCTCTTATGACAGTCTAGGTAATAAGTTACTTTAAAATGACAGATGCTGCAGTCCACCAGTAAAATAAATACATATACTGGTTGAACCTATCTTGTCCGGCACAATCTGGGCAGCATCCATGGTCCTTCATGATTTTAGTAAGCCAGATGTACACTTATCATGGGTGTGGCCAAATTTCTCGCAGTCCCATAAAGTGTATTTGCAGCCACCAGTCCTGGCTCTCAGTGTTCTGTACTATTTTTAGCCCTATTTTACCCTTAAATGTTTTCTAAGGGCGCATCTACACTGCACTTGTAGCTCGAAATAAGCTACTCAATTTGAGCTACGCAAATTACGTAGTTTATTTCAAATTAATTTTGAAATAGCTTATTTCAAAATTACAGTGCCAAATTTCAAAATAGAGTGCTATTCTGAAACATCCCTTACTCCTTGTGGAATGAGGTTTACAGGGACGTCAGAATAGCGAGCCCGTTATATTTTGAAATAATGGGCTTGCTCAAAGGATGCAGAATAGCTATTTCTAGATACTTCTGGTATCCGTAAATAGCTCTGCAGTGTAAATGTAGCCTAAGAGCAGTAAGCAATGAAAGCGTAATTCTGCTGAACATTATTGACTTCCTGTGGTTCGTCAGATTCTCTTGTTTCGCACTGGTCAGGTCCTAAGGGTGCCTAACTTAGACCGTTTCAGAGGGGTAGCTGAGTTAGAGGTTCAACCTGTATTATAAACAGAATGGAGTATAAAGATAATGTAATACAACAGTCAGATATAGTATGCCTTACTTTTTAATGTCCCCAAAGAATGACAATTAGATATATGCTAAACTGCATCTGCATATCTTTCTAACTGCAATATTTCGCTCTTACACTAAATTCCACCCATTATTTCATTTTTATGGGAGTAAAAATGGAAGAATAATTTTCAAAATTATGCTATATATGCTTATCAGATGTGATACAAAAGCTGAACTTAAGCATTACCACCCATAAGTTAACTATCTACATATGGAGGTAAAGAGAAGCCCTAGAGCCTCAGGATCTCCAGACGTCAAACTAATACATAGCATAGTAACATCTGATCTAGAAACAGTGGCCTGGATTTTCCTCTTGGTTTCAGTGAAGTAAGTGGACTTACACCATTGTAAATGTGATGTGAGGGAAGAATCAGTCCAAAAGACTTCAGTTCTACACACCTTTTTATAAAATAGTTGTATTGATAAAGAAACTGTGAGTTCGCAGAAATCTATAATGTACCTGCAAAAATAATATACAGTTCTGTGGGAAATTACATCTAAAATTATTCTCAAGTATCAGCATTTACAACTCACTTGCATTCTGGATATTGGAAGCTGCCTCTTTACCTTGGACTTTTTTGGGGGATTTTTTTTTGCAGATCATGTAAATGGACATTGTACAAGTCCAACCTCCCAGACTTGCAGCTCTGGAAAACGGCTCTCTAGCGCAGATGTTACCAAATCAAATCGCCGAGGACCTGGGAGGCCGCCATTTAGAAAAGCACAGTCTGCAGCTTGCATGGAGATTTCCCTTCCAGTTACAACGGAAGGTGAGTGCCACTCAGCATTTTCATTAGGTATGTGTTAGTTTCACTTTTCCACAAGATGTGAAAGCAAACTAGTTACGCACTATTTAGCATGATCCTTGTCTCAGTCACTTCTCTAAAATGCTGTCTTCATTTAATTGTTTAGAATTAGAATGATCCCCTTGTGTTTTAGTGTTGTTACTAACCAGCCAGCCTGCTACTCACTTTTGTGCTAACTAGAGATGCAGTTATATGAAACTTCCTAAAACTCTTATAGTCCTCCTACCCTCTTTTTGAGCTTGGAAGCTTTGCTTCAGATGAGTGTTCATCAGAATGTATGTACAGTAATTATAACAGCCCATGACACCAAACGAGTAAAATATTCTGATCCCTGTTTATTCATAAAAAATAGTATGAAAATGAGAAATAGATTTATAAGACTGAGAGTTTTACTTTTGCCCTGCATTGTATCATTCTTTGGTATTAAATAAAAATAAGGGCTGAAAATTCTGCAATTGGATCTCCCCTTTCCTAGAGAACCACAGTTCAGAATCTAAGCTTTCTTTAAAATAATTTATGTTTTGAGCTCTTATATTTGTGAATACAACATCCAATTTTTGAACTAAGTATAGGGCATGCAGTGTTGTTTGCCTGAATTTGCAGACACATTCAAACAACAGTTCTGAGGAGTATAAATTGTCCCATTCATGTCAATGGGTTAAGTACAAAACTTAAAATATGCCCATTTAAATGTCAGCATTGCTAACTATGCCCATCATTCTAACAGAAGTATCCAGCAGATGTGCTTTCCTTAATTTCATAACACCTCCCGCACCTGGTGAGGTGCTGCCACTCCCCGTTGTCCCTCATCCACCAAACCTGCAATTTCCCCCACACTTCCCACAGATTCTACAGCACAAGAAGGTGTTGTCCATACAAAATGCTTTGACAGTACAAAGCTACTCTACTGATTGTATTCTTAATTTTAATATTTAACTCAGGGCTGGGGAATTTTTGGGGGGTTGGAATCCACTGACCCACAGAAAAATCAGGCGGGGGGCTGCACACAAGTGAGGAGCTCCCGACTGAGAAGGTTGCTCCTCACATTCCCCTTGCACACCAGAATCTACCGCGCTCCGGGCAAGTAGGTTTTGTGTGCTCCAGCCCTCTAGGTTGGTGGCAAGGGGTGGCAATAGGTTTCCCAATGCTGACCCTTGGGGGCTGAATCCCAGCAAGCTGGGGGCCGCATCCGGCCCCCGGGCCTAAGGTTCCCCACCCCTGATTTAACTCATTAAAAACTCTAGTTTTAAACTTAATTAAGACTGCCACAGAATTTGCAAGCTGCCTAGATTACAATAGCTTCCCAGGGCTACCATCTTGGTTTTAGCTCCAGACCCACCCACGACATGCCGTTTTTGCCCCAGAGCACTTCCAGAGTGCCCTCCACACCATGGCTCGCCAACAGATCATTGGTCTTTTGCCTCTGTTGAGCAATGCCTGCACCAGGGTACTTCTCCCAGCATCAGAATAAGAGCTTTCAGAGCCTCTTTATGCAGCTTCAGTCCTGTGACCCATTGCAAGGGGGACAGAGTGAGTGATGATCCACCCATAGTGTCTGATGATGTACCCTTTAAATACAAACTATAGAAAATACCTTTTGTTTCCAAATGCGAAAAGCTCCCTCTACTTACAGGAAATTGATAGAACACCAGAACCCCCTTTCTTAGTATTTCTGGTAGGTGGCTCTCCAGAGTTTATTCATTATATGATATGATAAAATAAAGGAATCACTGTTGATCCTCTGAGAAATAAATCATGACCACTTCATGACCATTTGAGATCATACCACAGAAAGACAGAAGAGATTGGTGTAGGGGTGTCACTGAGTAGACAACTACGCTATTAACTGATAAACCTGGGCTTATTGGTTAATCTTGTCAATTACATACGCTCCCCCCCTTGCTGCCTCTGTATCAGAGGCAGCAAGGAGGAGGGGGGAGTGGGAGCTGGCATCCATGAGGAGCTGCCTTTAAGCAGGCTCCTCACAAGCACTGGATCTGCTTCCCCCTGCCCCTTCACTGCTGCCTCTGATAGAGAGGCAGCAGTGTGGAGGGTGAGGGGGGCAGGCTGGAGTCAATATGTGTGGGAAGCCAGCTTTCAAGCAGGCTCCCCATGCGTGCTGGCTCCGAGGAGGGGGGAGTGGGAGCTGGCATCCATGAGGAGCTGCCTTTAAGCAGGCTCCTCACAAGCACTGGATCTGCTTCCCCCTGCCCCTTCACTGCTGCCTCTGATAGAGAGGCAGCAGTGTGGAGGGTGAGGGGGGCAGGCTGGAGTCAATATGTGTGGGAAGCCAGCTTTCAAGCAGGCTCCCCATGCGTGCTGGCTCCACA